AGTTATGTGAGGAGAGGTCTGGGGGACAGCCTGGGGACACACTGAGGCATCATACACTCACGTGGCCACAGGACCTTAGAAGCAGCAGCTCTAGAGAAGAGGCTCTGTCTACACTGGCTAAAAGAACTAGCTCTAAATCTATAATGGAGGAAGCGTCTACACTACAGCAGCATGTGGCAGGCACATGTGGACTTGAAGCCAGAAGGGAGGGGCCCCACGCCTGAGAATCTGCATACTTTGGGTGATCCTTTCTTCAGCCAGACACCTGCTTTGGGGGACTCCTCTACCCCTGTTGCAACTGAGGGTAAAATTAGACCAGTTTTCATCTCTGGGCTGAGGTCTCTGGCTCGCAGTGGCAGAGCAGAATACATGTCTGGCCAAGAACTCAGATGTGTAACAGAGGGTCCTGGAGGCCTCAAGCCAGAGACTGAAGCCTCCTCCATCGTCTGACTCACCTGCCTGGCCAAGACCTCACCTCCTGGCCCCTACTTTGGGCCCATTTTCACCAGGAACCCCAGTGTGAGTCAACCCCCAAATGCCACAGTACTTAGTCCCTAGACTAACCGGACACACGGCAGAGAAGGCAGGTGCTGGGACAGCTGGGGCGGCTGGGAAGTGCCCTGCACCTGCCTTTCAAAGGACTAACCCAGAGGGACGGGGCAGAGGTCTGAAATTTTCTGCTTCTTAAAGAGATTACACAGTGATGGCTGGTGGGAGAGAAAAGGAAAACGTGCCAGCTAAAAGAACCGAAGCCTTTGCAGCTGGGAGCCGGCGCCCTGGACATCAAATTGACATTAGTATGGTGTTCAGTGAGGAGTGAGGCTGCCAGACCCAAATTGGCAAGGGCTTAATTAGAGCTGCATAAAGTGAGCCCTGAAGGCACTTTGCTTCTGCTCTTGTCTCCCACCACCCTCTGTGGGCCCAGCCAGGGCCGGATTAGTGGTCTGAGCAGCCCCTGTTCTCCCGACAGCTCAGTATTGGCAGGAGGGGGAAATATCTGGGCCAGGGGTTCAGGGACCCAGCTGGATCCTTGACAGAGCCCCATGTGCATCCTGGGGAGAGTCAGGACCTTCAGGGTGGGGACTGGGATCAGAGGAGGAAATGACCCCCTGCTAGGCCCCCAGGGACATGCCCAGGTGTGCAGGAAGCAAGTTCTGGCAGTGGCCTGTGGCCTGTGCCAAGACCAGATGGCAGCCCTGACTATTCCTTCTGAATTTGGGAGCCCTGCAAGCCAGGCCTTAAAGGTGACACACCTTGTAGCCCCAGGCCTCAGGGCAGTAGCACTAGGAGGTGGGTGTCAGGGTGGGGGAGTCAGCACCTTACTTAGCTTGCTTCTGGCCTATGCCCCTTCCTAATCCTGGGGCCTTGGACAGCTGCTTCTTTTCTTTCTTTTTTCTTCTTTTTAAAACAGCTTTATTGAGGTATAATTTACATACCATAAAATCCAGCTGCTGCTTCCTGAGCCTCAATTTCCTCACTCCTGGGACTGGGACAATAACAGCCTCCAGCTCACAGAGCCATGAGCAAGGAATATGGATAATACAGCTGGAAGAAGCCCAAGGAAGAAGCAGCACAGAGCATGGACTGTCACGGCTGGAGCCATCTCCTTCCCTGATGCCCCACTGCTGGCACAGGTGGGGCTGACCAGTCCTCACTAAATGTTTGCTACGGTAGCCTGGAGTGAGGGTGCAGCTCCTGCTCACCTCTGGGGCTTGGGGACGCTCACAATTTAAACCTCACCCTTCCAGATTCACCACTCTGACCTCTGACTTTTCCTCTTTCACTCCCAACTTTGCTCAGGCCTTCACACCAGAAGCAGCTCTGAAAGTGGATTCAAGGTTCGTCCCTGTGTGTGTGCATGTGTGTGCACATGTGTGTGACAGAGCACCGACCTCCCACCCAGATAGACCACTGTTTGGAGGGGGTAACAGCATCCCCCACAGCTATGTTTGCTCCCATCTGCCCACTGCAGGCAAGTACAAGTCTCACATGGCTGGGCCAACCTATGTCCTAAACTCAGAATTCTCAGAGTGACTCCTGTCCTTCACCCCAGGAGGAGCTCTGGGCTGGGCGGCTCCCCAGAAATCCTCCAATCTCCTGGTTGGGCCCTGCCCCCCTGCAAATGCCTCCCATGGAGAAGGCAGGATGCAGAAAGAGAACTTGGGAGCTGCCCACAGGGAGGGGACTTTGTCCAGGCATCAACCTGCATCAGGGGGCTGAGCGCCTCACCTCTAATAGACCAAGGGAAGGGAGGGTTAGAGTTAGGTCCTATAGCTGATGGAGGGGTCTCTGCCCTTTAGAAATGGCACCGCCAGGCACCCCTCCTTGGCTGAGACCAGGAAGAATCTCCTCAGCCCCCATCTTCCCAGCACCCTCTGGGAAGGATGAGTCCATAATGGCTCCTGGCACCTGCAGTGGGCAGAGTGTATTAAGACTCTCAGAGGAGTCCAGAGGCCACCCTAGCACCCCAAACCTTGAGCGCAAACAATCCTGTCTGCGGAAGGGAATGAGAACCATACAGGTTTCCACACCTGTCCTTGCTGCCGCCCCTGAGATGTGAGGGGCCCCCTGCCCTGCCTGGCCCTGCGCTCACAGCCCGGGGTGCTGGGCTGGGTGGTACATATGGTCAGATCCAGTTGCAGAGGCTCCTGTCTGCCCTCGTGCTGGGGAGGGTCTGCCTTCCGGGCTAACCCTGCTCTGTCATCCCTGTGGTCGACTGGCTATGGAGGAGCTGGGGACAGAGAGGCTCTTGGAGGGCTGGGGGGCAGGCCTTGGCCAGCTCCAGGGAACAAGGAGGTAGAAGTCCTGTCAGGAGAAAAGACCCCATCTTTGGCTGAATCTCAGGGTGTCCTCACTGCCACCAGCACCCTCCACACAGGTTCCCTGTTTGACCACACTGGTCGGGGGCCCTTCCAAGCAATGCCGTGGAGAGAAAAAGGAAGCATTCCTAGGTTCAAGATCTTTTTAGGCCCTTGGATCCCCGAGTTAGGGCTTGGTGACAGGTTGGCCTAGATGGCCTGGAGGCCCCTGGGCCCCTACCCTTGTGGCTCCTTGTGGGTTCCAGCACTGCTACACTAAAAACCAAACCCCTGCTCTCCCCAGGACTGATGTCCCCCAGAGAGGCAGGGACGCAGGCTAGAAGCAGGAGTGAGCAGGACAGCAGGGGTCACTGGCTGTATTCTGGCACCCACCTGTGGGCTGTGGGGTGCTGAGGGCTATAGGGGTCCTGGCAGTGGATGTGGAGGGGGCAGGAGTGGTCGGTTCCCCCCTCATAGCCACAGTGGCCACAGGGCCTTTAGGGACAGGGTCTTTCCCAGACCTGCCAATGCCTGATGAGAGATTGGAAAAGCAAGAGAGGGTGGGGAGTCAGCAGGGGTGGGGACGCTGCAGAGAAGCAACTTACAATGGCTGTGCAGGTCAGCATCCCCTCCAGGGTCCAGCTTCCTTCTGGCGCCCTCTCCACCCACTGGCACCCTTGAGGGGTAGTCTGGGTTGGGAGGGACTGCCTGGGTGATATGCAGCCCCTCACGGGGAGGAGGGCACACCCAGAAGCATTTCTGAGGTTTGGGGTCAGCCAGTGCTTTCCTGCCAACTCAGCACATATGGCACACACCTGGGGGAGGGGCCTACAGGGACTAACGGAGACCCTGCCCATGGGTTCTGTGCTGCTAGTATCTGGATGACAGTCCATTGACCGCCTGTGGACACCATGCCTACCCTCACTCTCCTCGAGAGCTCTCAGGACTCCCTGGCCCCCCTCAGTCTGATATGACCTAGGACCTGGGCTGGCTTGGATGACCAGGGCAGGGGTGGCAGGCTGGGGGACGGATTCTGCCCCTGGTCAGTGAAGAAGGTCACCCCACTCTTGCCTGGCAGAAGACTCTCCTCCCAGATCTGGGTGAGAGAGGGGCAGAAGTCCACCCAGGGGTCAAAGAGATCTGCAAAAACTCTCATCCCACTTTCCAAAGCAGCCCTGATGAAGCTCCTGGGAGGAAGGGCGTTTCTGGCTGCTGGCCACAATCAAATGACAGTGTGCTGTGACTCGGAGGAGGAGCGAGGGGTGGAGAAGCAGATGGGTGGAATGAGAGGAGGGCGTGGGGAGGCTGAGGCTGGAGGGACATGGAAGCCCTTCTTTTCCCTCCTGCTCTTTTCAGGACATGCAAAGAGGCTCGTGCAGTCGGGGCCAGTGGTGGGTACTTACTGCCGAAGGAGCCTGCAGCGGCACCTGCGGGGAGAGAGAGGGTCACAGAGCTGGCTGGCCGGGAGGAAGGGGCCTGGCTGTCTTCTCCCTGTAGAGGTGGGGTGGCGGGGGGGCATCAAGATGTCCCTCCCTCTGCCAAATGGGGGGAACTTAGGGCTTGGGTGGCTTATCCCCTTCCACACTCACTGCAGCCCTGAGAGGGAGGAGCTATTAGCCCACTTTGCAGATGGAGAAATTGAGTCTCAGAGCTGTGACTTACCCTTGGGGACATCCTGATAGGTCCCAAATACCCCACTGGAGATTCACATATACCCCTTTTTAAATTTTGAACTTTGGGGCCCTCCAGTGCAGGATGAGGAATTACATGCAGTGCTGTCTCCATCTGAGAAAAGCAGGGCTGAGTAACTTCTTGAAACATGGACACAGCACCTGCCCCCCCTGAGTGCTTTCCAGGAGTTGAGCACCATGTACTCTTGTCTCTACACAAGTCATTTGGTTCTTACAACAACCCACAAGGGAGTGTTCTTATGATCCTAAGTCTACAGATGAGGAAACAGGCCAGGGGAGCAAGACAGCTGGGAGTGGCCAAGATGTGACTCAAATCCCGGTGCCACCGTCTCTGAGTGGCTGCCCCTCAAGGGTGAGGGAAGCCTGGATCCTGGTTTGACCAGGGGCCTCGGGGTCCAGGGTGAGCATCTCCACTGTCCCACCACAGTGGGACGTGCGGTGCGTGGACCTACTTGGCTGAGCCTACGCTGTGGCCAGCAAGACAGTCCACGGAAGCTGGGAAGATGAGCCCAGCCACCCTCCTTCCCTCACCAGCATGTCTGGGCAGGCACCACATCAGACCCTGGGGTGACCCTGGGAGGTTTGGTCTCAGGATTGAAACAGGGATGGGGTGCTGGTGCCTGTGGCTCAAAGGAGTAGCGCTGGCCAAAAAAAGAAAAAGGATGGAGCAGTTACCAAATGAGGCTCTGGTAGGGAACAGGCAGTGCTGAGGGTGGGGCACGGAGAGGCATGTGACCTCCGGGCTGGGCCCTGAAGGGTGAAGGAGCCACCCAGATGAGGGCTGGGGGTGACCAGGTGGAAAGACAGGACAGGGAACAGGTGGGAGGGGAAAGGAGGGAAGTGGATGGATGTGGGTGAGGGCTCCAGTCTAGGGGACCCTGACTTGCAGCTTCGTCTCACAGGTGTCAGTGCCACTTGGACCCTTTTCTCCTGGTTGCCTGCAGGAATGCAGGAGGCCAGGGGGAGAGGACTTCAGGCTGAGGACAGAGAGCCCCTCCGGCCTCACCCCTGCCCCTGAATACTCCAGGCCTAGAGGCTCCTGAGGAAGCAGGGGGGTGGTGGCCAGCTCCCGCCTGCCCCTGTAGGGAGGAGGGGAGGAGATGCTTCTGAGGCAATGCCCCGGTTAGGCAGTAGGTGGCCTCCCGCGTGTGATCTGCAGGTAAGAGTCTCAGTCTAGGTGCCCAGGAGGTGGCAGAGGAAGACCTTGCAGAGTCCTCGGGAGTAAGGGACAGAGGAAGAAAAGAGCCAGAAGTGGCCAGACAGAAGGGGAGAGCGCCCACAGGACGATGAAGGGGGGTGTCGGTGAGTCAGACAGGGAGTGACAGCCACTAAAGGAGGGGTCCAGGAAAGGGTCAGGGCCACAAAGAGACAGAGGGGGAGCAGGGAGGAGGGAGCCAGGCTGGGGGCTGTCAGCTGTGCCTTTGAAGGCCCACGGGAGCGCTGCCTGGAGCCTGGCGAGCCAGCCCTTCAAAGGCCGGCTGTTCCGCCTGCCCTGGCTCTCGCACAGGTGCCTGTCAGACCTTGGAGCTTGGCTTTCAGCTTTGATCAGCCTAAGGTCACATCAATCTTTTACCCATCAAGGGAGGGTGCCCAAATGGGGTGTGCAGCCTGGGGTGCAGGAGGCGGCTGCTCAGCTTTGGACTTGAGCCCCAGTGCCAGCACCTAACTCATGCTGATACCTAGGAGGGCCCTGAGGCTCTATGGGTCTCAGTTTGCACATCTGGAGAGTGGGTGATTTCATCTCTCCTACACCTTGTGCTGTTGGGTGGGCAAAGAGAGGTGATGCATTTAAAGTGCCTGGCACAGCAGCCCTCAGGCACCAGAAAGATCCTTCACAAAGATCAGACATCAGTAAAATCCCGAGGGGAGCTCACCCCAGGCTCGTCTGGGCTCTCCTACACTTGCAGCCCAGGACCCCCATGGGATTCCTGGTTTCAGGGAGTCACCCATGGGCTAGGCTGGGGTCCCTGATGAGTGGGTGTCCTCCACCAGGAGCTCATGATGCAGGCGTGTGGGCAGACTTGGAGGACAGCCTTCCCAGCATGTCTGAGGGAGGAGAGGACTGGGCAGACAGCATGGGTCAGGGGACTCTGGTGAGATCCTCTGTAAAGTGGGACAACAGGCACCCAGCTTCCTGGGGCACTGTGAGGACAGGGGGTGCAAACACACAGCATTCTGCAAGCACCCTGACAGCACTCATCATCAAGAGTGGTACTGGTGATCTGCTTGCCTGCCACAGGGCCCCCTCTCCCCTAGAGGCCTTCTGCCTTGATTTTGGGTGCAGAAAAGATGCTCAGGGGCTCAGCTTGGGTTTGCCTGTAGGCCAAGGTCAGAAGGGTGGCGTAGAGTTCAGCAGGAGACAGATGTGCTCAAGGCCTGCTGGGGAGGTGCATGTGTGCACCTGAGCATCTCTGCGTGCATGCACACGTGTTTCTGTATGCATGTGCATACAAGTGCACGTGCACGTGTGTGTGCCTGTGTTGTGGGAGGGACACTGCAGCCACCCGGGCTCTTGGCTGGGCACAGCACGTACAGGCGTTGGGAGAGCCATGGGGCAGCGGCAGGTAGGAGCCAGCACGCCAGGAGCGGGTGCGGAAGTTCTTCTTGCACTTGCCGCAGTCGGGACCGGTGGTGTTGTGCTCACACTCACACTGCAGGCTGCCCTCGCGCACGGAGCACAGGTTGGCATGCAGGTTGCACTTGCACCTGGGGAGACACAGGGTGGGTGAGGGGCAGAGGTGTCAGAGGGCTTGTGGGCAGACCAGCTGGCCTGGGGGAAAGAAGAGCCCCACGGGAGAGGCTGGGAAGTACAGGGCTGGCCACCCGACCAACCAGCACCACCTCCTTTGGGATAGACAGAAACTCCCAGCCCCCCCCGTGAAGGGATCAACTCCAACTTCTGAAGTCTTGCCTGGACTCTCTGCTGCTGGTCTGCTCCCCTCTTTGACGGTGGTTTCAAGGATTCCCTACTACGCAGTTGGGGCAGGTGATAAGATTCTTTGTCCCAGATGCTGTATTTTTAGCAACATAGCTTCTGATCATCCTGGCTCTTAACTGAGGTAGGTGGACAGGTAGTAAGGGCTGCCACCAGCCCCTCGTTGTGTAGACAGGGACCTGGCCATGGGCTGCATCTCTGCTGTCACCTGTGGCCCACTTGTATCCTTGAGGGTGACAGAAAGAGCCCCCCAACTTCCAAGTCCCTGTCAGTTCATCCGCACATGTATTATTTATTCATTCATTCAAATATTTATAGGCAACTCATTATTCTGAAAACTGGTAAATAAAGGGAAAGAATCAAGTACTTATACCACCTGTCCTACATAAACTGTACCTCAGGAAACCAGAAATTGAGGAGGAAAGCGTCTTTTTTATAGAAGCATTTTGCGATAGAATTAGTGGTCCCTAACAAATGAATGGCTGCAGCCACAGGACAGAACACCACAGAGGGAGACAAGAGCGAGTGTCCCACAGAAGAACACCCTCCACCGGGAGCCATCTCTTGCCAAAATAAATTGCATCTGACTCCCGCCAAGTCTGAGACCCAGCCTTGAGTTGATGAGAAACAGGACAGAGCCACATACTGCACACCAGGGGGCGCAGTCCAGACTGGTGGGAACTCCAGAAGAAATGACCCAGTTTCTTCAACAGATGAATTGCATGGGACAAAACTAACAGGGGGAAGAGAAGAGAAACCTCAAAGGCACACCGTCAAATGGCAGGGTGTGGACTGCCTCTGGATCTTGGTTCAAACAACCTACAAAATCAAATAAACAAATGGAATATATAGACTCGGCGCCTATAGCACAGTGGTTACGGTGCCAGCCACATACACCAAAGCTGGTGGGTTCGAACTCGGCCTGGGCCAGCTAAACAATGACAACTGCAATAAAAAATAGCTGGGCATTGTGGCAGGTGCCTGTAGTCCCAGCTACTTGGGAGGATGGGGTAAGAGAATCACTTAAGCCCGAGAGCTGGAGGTTGCTGTGAGCTGTGACTTCAGAGCACTCTACAGAGGGTGACATAGTGAGACTCTGTCTCAAAACAAACAAACAAAAACAAATGGAATGTATATTTATGAGACACTTGGAAATTTGGACACTGGCTATATTTGATATTAAATTAATGTTCATGAGGGGTGTGATGGTATGTTTTTATTTTTTTATTTTTATTTTTTTTGAGAGAGAGCCTCAAGCTGTCCCCCTGGGTAGAGTGC